CATCCGCATCCGAGGATTCAGTGTTAGAATTTATTCTGCCTCGCAAGCCCATTTGAGAATGTGCGATGAAGGAAGACACTCCTTTTCAAAAGCCGTTAATTATTGAACTAATTTTTCCGCATTGTCTGCAATCCGCGTATATTGAATGAAGACTGATTTATTATTTATTCCTGTATTGTTCGGACGAAGGAGTGGGTGATGGAAATGCACTCAAGGTAATTTACAACAAAGGTATATGAAACACATCACTGTAGGCGGGATCGAACTGGTAATATCAATCATTACCAGCCTGTGCTTATTTCTGCATTAATTGAAACACTTAAGCAAAGGTGTTGATTAGTTGTGAATTTATTTATTAAGATATTGAAAATAATAACTAGTTGATCATAAATTCATGTGAAACTACAAATGGTGTATTGCAAGGTGATCCGTTGGGCATTTATTGCCGATGTCGAAAATGTATTTGTATCAAAACAAGCCAAAGGAGTTAACTTGGAAAATAACATACGTGAATTGATTAAGCTACTCCGCTCATAATATTTGAGAAACTTGATGGGAATAGTAACCGAAACCTCATACAAGTAAATACCAAAAATCACCTAATTTCTCTAAAGGGAGCTACAAAAGCAAATTTTTATACAAAACCAAAACTGTTGACATCGTCTCGAGTACTGTGTTTTTTATCCTCACTGGGTTCGCGACGTTTCGGCAAAGTCTCATTTTCCCATCTACTAGGTGATGTCTCCTTTGACATCTGTCGAAGAAGTAAAGAAATAAGCTCTCAAGAAAGGAATAACTGCGTATATATTCGAATTTTTATCCATTTCTGAAGACGGAGGCAGATTTTGGCCTCCCAAACGTAAAAGATAAGTATTATTTCTTAATTATTTTTTTGATAGGCAAAATTGTTAAATACGACAAGTTACTGATAAATAGAAGATTTTTATTCGTGAAAAATACTTTTATTTTCACGCAGTAACTTATCGGGGTAAACTAAAAAGTTTGCCCTTCTACACTTGTATAAAGTTCTCCATAATGATTTTTATATTTTTTCAGATTGTGGAAGGTAACGATTACCCAAAAAAAGGTCGATAAAAAATTTACATGAATTTTAGCACATACAGCAGGACTCAACATCTCAATCGAAGATAATTCTGCATATTTTGCAAAAAAGAAAAATATTCGAAAATTTATGACATTCTCTTTGGAAACCTATCAAATAGGGAGAAATTTGTTAATATCTTGAATAACATTACATTTGTCATGGAAAAACCTATAGCCATGAACATGTGCATGTCATGAAATTGAGAACATTTATTCTTAGATAAATCACGTATTTACTCAAAATACTGAAATAACCACTGCCAATAAATACACTGTATCTTTTTATGTACTTTCACCTCAATATCTATCAGAAACCGAAACCTCGTCGGGAAACAATAAATTATCTATAACCTTATTGCTGGTTTCATTTAGTTAGATTTTTGTGACCTGCATCTTTAATCAACTTTCAAATTATTCACCTTCATTTCAATATAACAGGTCTTATTTTGATTTATATCCTATCATCTCTAATTTTCAAGGATAAATTTATCGATATGCATTAGTTAACAGGAATCTGGTGATCAGTAATTAGTATATCAATATCATCTCATTATAGGCCGGATATGAATAAGAGGCGCAAAAATCAAATCAAGCATCATGAAACGTTAAGTACTTATATATCCTTCATTCCTTGAAAACTTTTCTGCAAGAGAAACTGTTTTTGTTTTGGTTAATTCAAAACCAATAGGATTCAAACTAGTTGGAACGTGAATATGTGAGACATTGGAAAATGTGCTAAAATAACTTCCATCGGTACAATTTTTTAGTTAGGCAGAGTGTTTAAATATAAATGAGAAAAACTCCTATATGGAAGAATACATAGTATGCACTCCAAGGACCGGCAAATATTAGTAACTTGTGAATCTCAATCTAACTTTATATGACCTTACAATTGGTTTTTTAACTAATGTTTTTTTTAATATTTGAGACAGTTTTGATGAATGGAAGACTGTCGGTCAATGATAGAAAAATAAAATTGTAAAGCAAAAAGTTAAAAAAAAACAAAACAGATATAGAAAGATATGTGCAGAATGTTGAGACAGTTCTTCTGACAGTTGCAAAAAAATCTGTCATAAGAAGAATAACAGTGTTTCATAAGTAAGGAGTGTGCTCTCTTGGCCTAGCTACTACCCTCAATTCGGATGTAGAGAAAGATATTTTTACTTAAACCGGTGATCTACTTGATGATTTTCACTCCAGGTGCAGTTGGAGAAGATCCAATAGGCTCTTTGAAACTTACATGTTGCCAACGTTTCAAGCTATATTCAACTCATCCTCAAGAGTCTGTGAAGAAATGACGTTCTGAATAGTTGAACGTTAGCCAACTAATGAGGATGCGTGATCCTTTCTACTCACTGAATAAACCACTATTGTGAATATTACCCCGATTGTAACTGAATGGATATTCGAATAGAAGGTTTAGCCCGTTCAGCTCGTACGAGTTACGACTTTTGGGAGTTATCGTTCCTAGGGAAGGGAAGCTACTATATGGCAAAACACAGAGTGAGCATCACATTTATACACTGAGTAATACAGCTGCTAATAATATTGAATTATTAGACCTGCAGTAGACCTTAGTTTGAACTTTCAAACTTTCAAAATCTCACAGCCTATTTGTAATCAAGTTACCTCACATGTTATATTCGTAACGGAAAATATTTATTGATGAATCATATATACATATAAGTTTTTGTGATTGACAAATTGTATTATTTCAAATTATGAAATTAGGAAATTGTATACAGTGATATTTTACATGTATACATGTTTACTTTATGTGACGTATGTTATTATACTGCTGTGTAATAAAGTATATATGTATTTACCTATGGGGACGATAACTGAATAATATATTAACAAAATTCAGTGTTGCAGTAACAAGCACAATCAAATAAAAACTATAATTGATAATGCAATTTCTTTTCATTGCTCTTGAAATTTCAACTATATCTCCAAATGGAAGAAAATTCAGTTATTTAGAAACTCAAGTTGAAAGACACATTCCTGTTTCGAAATTGCAACTGAAAATAATAAAAAAATGAGAAAGGAGTATTTTGAAAGCTGTTGCAGTATAATGGGAGAGATTGAAATGGGCATACAGAAATATTCCCAAGAATAAATCAAAATTTGATGCAGAGTAGGAAAAATACCAAGATCAAAGCTGTTTCAAGAGAAAGAAAAGTTAATTTAACTTCAACAATGCATTCAATATTGCAGAAGATTCAACCGAGATTGAACAAACGTGTTTTTCTCATCAAAATTGATTTAGCTATGTTATCTGAAGCTGTATAGATAGCTGACATTATTAGTAACTATTAATGACGTGGAAAACATAACATGTACTTCCATATCTGATTGTTCTCAGATACACAGCAGCAAGTGAACCGAGAGAGATATAGTAGGGGCAAATTTTTCAGCTTACTGATACTAAAAGTGGAGTTATCAAAATAATGTCTCTGTCAATCTCTGAAAGGCTATTGGTATTATTTCACATGAAAATTACGAACTAATAAGAAACCACCATTGAATGGAAAGTAAGTGCTTAAACTACTTGATAACCTCATTGAAAGGTATCTTGCTGAAATCGACTCATTTTGAATTCTAAAAATTGTTAAGATGAAGTTTCATGAAGAATAGTTTTTGATCCCCTCCCCGTATATCCATTCAGTGAGTGGAGTGGGTAGTAGAGTCCTGAGTTTATATATATATATGATATAAAATTGAAATTGACTATTCAAAAATATTTGAACATATTACCAATATAGTTTTCCAGCGTTCATCGTAAAAAATAATTTTATTCGAACGAGTACATGAGTTTATCTATCTTGCTTCCTCTTCATTTTTAATTTTCAAAAGAATAGTTTTGAATTATGGATTATTAAATATACACTTTTGTATTGAGTCTTTGAATTCTGTATAAATACATGGTTTGCACCAAGAATTTTGGCAACAAAGAATGTTAAAATATGAATGTTTTTGCCGATAGATTCATTTGAGGCATAGACATTGAATTTTCTAAAAATTGAATGGGCTGGCCGATACTTAATGAAAATCCATATCAAAACTACTACAGTGATTTTGTGATGTACTGTTTGGGAGACTATTAAGACGCAGGTACCTAGTAGGAGTATCTATGGTATGAATAAGGACCATATTATATGTAATTTACCTTAATATCTCTCTTGAAGATGACCACTTGGTGACTGAAACAAGTGTCGAGGTGTAAGTAAAAAATAACGGTTTGGTGTTGGGATGAAACTGCAGTAATATACAGTGATTTTGATTACGATAAGTTTACAGGACCGCGACACGTGTTCCGCTAGCTTTCTCAGGGAGGACTTTTATTCCTTTCGAACGTTTTCACGCAAATTTTTTATAACCCGTATTATATAGTTGATATTTTGTCATTGGAAAACGGTTTCTCATTATAATTTTCAATAAGACACTAAATGATAATTTCATATGACTTTTTCAAATTAACGGAGGAATAATTTAAGTTTATTCATAAACACAAGTCAAAACCTCAAACGTAGCAAGTGCTACCTGAGAGTGTTAATGACTAGTCGATTACCTCAAGTAATGGTTAATCTAGCGAATGAAGACATAACCGAAACGGAATATGACAAAACCTCAATGGCGGTTTATTTCGCAAATCCCTCAAACAAAGATTGACGGCTCTCCTTAAGCGTAAAACCGCGTGCCATTCCAAACATTCGAACAAGTAACACCAAGGCAACAAAACATCAACACGATCGGTTCGCAAAAACCTGCACAATAAACATGTGAAATACACCAGATCAACTTTTTGACACCGGCGCTCGTCACATTCCGCACATGGTTCGTAGCACCTGTCGCATGCGCCACTATTTTACCACATTCGATGCATGACAACATACTTTTCGCTTTTTAATCCACATCCAGCAGGGTGTCCTGCATCTCACTTGGCCACCTCACTAATCCTCGGGATCGCAATTGGTAAGGCACGATTTCCGGGCGCGAACAAATAAATAGCATCAGGCATGTAACAAATGCCGATCGAGACTGCGGCAACGGGCCGTTGACAGGCACCGCGCGCTATTCGTGAGACTTCGCTGTCGGTAGGAGTCGAGTTACCTTTTTCAACTAGCATTCAACTCTCTTTTTTGTTTCGCATGCTACCCCTATGGCTAGTGTAATTGGGTTACCGTTCTCTACTAGCGTTCAGCTCTCTTGGTGGATGCGATTCTTTAGCGGTACAAAACGCAGAGTGAAATCATCTTTGGAACTGTTCCAGAAATTTAGGGTTAGGTAGAAACTTTGAGTGAAGTAGAGAGAGTTACTGTGCTTTCCAAGAAAACGGCTCAAAACTCAAATGAACGAATAATGTTTATACACTCGAATTCAGGAGCAGCATCAAAAATGAAATTAATATTTTGTAACAAACTAAAAAAAAAGATTACTTCAACGTTTCAGGTTTGGAAATGATGTCCATGAAATCCTCATTCAGTTATGTTGATTTCCTTCATTTCATCCATCTTATTGATTACACATACTTATAATATATGGTCAATTCTATCATGGGACTTTACTATCGGTAGGAGTCGAATAACCTTTTTCAACTGCTTTCAAATCTCTTTTTCATGAAGAAAAGAGAATATAGCACCACTTCAGATAATAATAGAGGTACTTGGCTTGATTGAGTACCTAAATTTTGTTTTCTAGTGACAATGACAATACCCACAGTGGTGCTATATAAGGGCTAATGTAATCAACCATTGTTAGTTTACTGTATAACTGCAGTAACGTTAGTTACAGATAAAAATGGTAAGAAACATATAAAGTTTCAATTCTCTTGTCTTCATTATGATTTCCCACCACGTAGTAACGGCTACATCCATCGATATATCTTTTTTTGTGTTTCTCATGTTACCCCAATGACTAGTATAATTGGGTTACTGTTCTCTACTGACGTTTAGCTCTTCTGGTGAATGCGATACAAGAAGTAGATGAAATGAACTTTTGAAGTATTGGCTGAGTAGAAAATTATATTGAAGAAATTTTATGCAATTCATCCTTCTTATGGGTTATTGTTAATTAATATAAGGTGCATGTATATATAGGAAGTTTACCTTTTCAATTAGCATTTAACTAAATTTTACGCTGCTATCCATATGACTAGCCTAATTGAGTTGTCGTTTTCAACTGGTTCCAACTCTTCTGGTGAATGCGCTTCCTTACCGATACACAAGTGGCATAGAAAATAAACCCTTGAAACAACACAATTTCGGCGCTGAGAAGAAAGATTGTAGTGGAAAGTATAGAGTATTACAACGGCAAAATTCAAACGAATAAATGAAAGTCATTTGAAAACATAACACATTATTCAATACACCTGAATCTATTAGCGAATATTAACAATGAAAACAATAATTTTCTCAAACTGAAAAAAAAATTACTGAAGCTTCACAGCATCTTGGTATGGTGTAAGGATGGTACGAAAAAATACATTTTCGAAAAATTAGTTCAGTTCATCTCTCCTGCATGGATTACACGTAATTCAAACGTTCAATCTAATCTACTGGTAATTAATACTTCAATAAATAAATATATAATTCAATTATTATCAAAAAATTATTATCATGAAATTGCATTTATACAAATTGCTTTATTTTCATTCAATAAATTCAAGTACTATACTACAAATTTTTATAGGCGACTGAAAACGACATTATAAACGAAAAGTAAATATTGTCAATACTGGATTTTACTGAAATGAAAACAAATGGTACTTCTTTAGAAGTTTGTTTAGCAATGATAGATGATGGCAGAGATTGCTCTTCCATCCAATCGCATTGTTCTTACGTTCCAATTTCAAATAATCATAACAATAAACTCAACTCAGAATACATGCTTTATTCGAAATTCTCCAAAGCTCCTGATTTCACATTCAATGTTGATCATTTTCGAGAAATACTACTAGGTGTTTTGGTGCAATAAACATTTTCATGGTTGCCAATTCCACGAATAGTCTTTTTTACATCTGTAGAAGGGGCGGTACTGACATCCGAGTCTTTTGAAGTTTATAATGCTATATTTTTTTCATAAAACAATGAAATACAATCAAATAAGAGTATTTCTCTAATTGTGCCTCGAAAAGGAATCGAGCCTCTCTTGATTTTCTTCTTCTTCTCCGTATCTACCTGTAGCAATATTGAAATGTTGCAAGTCATATTCCGTTGTTAGCCAGTGTCGTATGACATCACAAGAAACAACCTAAGAAAGCAGTAAAATTATCCTTACATAAAAAGAGTCTTGCTGACTGGCGAACATAGGCAAGTAGTGACTTTCTTAAAGCGTATCCTCGACCTAGTGCAAAAACTATGAATGACGATTTTCTTTCTGATGCGCTTCACCAGCCAACGATAAACATTTTTACATTTCTTCAGTACTCCCATTGTATATTGAACATGGAATAGTTTATCGTGAAAGCTCATAGACACAATACCTCCCAACAGTCGCAGTAAATAATTCTTGTTAACAATATTAGACGTTGAAATAAAATTTATTGTGACTTGATTATATAAAGTGTCTCCATATGGGGTTATTTCTCCGATTAGAATGTATTTAGTACTCACTTAACTATCTACAAGAACTTTTACGATGGTTTTAAATCAAATTGAAGTGACTTGGCTCATAATTATGTATTTGCATTGACGTACGGATGATTTCAACCATCCTGAATTGCAAAGGTATATATCAAGAACGAGACGAAAAAAGCATAAGGTATTTTATTAACCGCACACATTGGTGTCCAGAACATCCAATCCAGGCCAAAAGTTGGTAATCATCGACCTATAGTGCTCGCCGTTGACAGTGACGGCTTGGTCAACGTCATTCTCAAAGAAATATGGACCTATGTCGTCGCCAGCCCAAAATCCATACCAAACGGTGACTTTTTCGGGATGCATTGAAGGCTCTTGGATCTCATGTGGATTGGTATCGTCCCAAATTTGACAATGTTGTTTTATTACGTACCCATTCATCCAGAAATGGGTCTATACGCTGAAGATGGTTTTTCGATGGAAGTCACGACGCAAAATTCGTCGAATTATGGTATGCGAAAGGCAGAGTTCTTGTGAGCGACACGAAATCGACTTCCTGAATTCTCATGCACACTCTCACAGTCATCGGTGATGTTTTTGGCAGATCTTGCGTTTCATCGACGTTCGGGTATTGGTCGATCGTTTACTGAACCAGTGGACACAAATTTATCCACCACGAATAGTCCTGTCGGTAGTGAACGTATGGTGAACGTAAAATGGAAAAAACGCGCGGTATGTTGCCCAAATATAACATTCATTTTGATGAAATAATTTTATTCTTTGCATGTAGTAGTAGTAGCAGTAGTAGTAGGTTATTAATCACCAAATTACATGCATTTCTCTAAATATATATAACTCTGAGTGACTGACATAGTGATCTATCAACGCACAGCCCAAACCACTGGACGGATCGAGCTGAAATTTGGCAAGCAGGTAGATGTTATGACGTAGGCATCCGCTAAGAAAGGATTTTGTTCAATTCTACCCCCAAGGGGATAAAATAGGGGATAAAATAGGGGGATAAAATAGGGAAAATTTGTATGAAACTTTGTCAATTTCAAACCGATCGGGCTGATACTTTGCATGCATAAAGCTAATATGACGTAGGCATCCCCTAAGAAAGGATTTTGATAAAGTCCACCCCTAAGGTGATAAAATAAGGGATGATGAAGGATGTAAATGTATTAGTTTGAACCTATCAGTACCTAATGAAACGAATAAATTAAGACGAAAAAAATAATTTTTACTTCTAAATGTTGACAATAGATGGCGTTAGTAGTATTTTAAAACGCGCTGTCGTTGTTTTCACTGAGTTACATATACCCGATGATGAGTGGCCGCCGTATCTAATAGTACATACTATACCTGAATATTTCTATCGGATATTTGACGATTTTGGCTGTTCTTTTCTTGGCATATTTTGGATTGCATTTGCTTTGTTTCGGTTTAGTAGTTTTGGTTATAGACTCTGCTTTGTATTTAGCATTTGTTTTGTTTTTGTTTGGTTTAAGTGTAGGTTTTGTCGGTTAGACTTTTTTAAAATGACTAAAGAAAATTTGAATGGAGAGGTTGAAGAATGCACTGTCGTCCCTATTGTTGGTGACGGTACATGTTTGTTTCGTGCTCTTTCTTATTTAATGTACAGAACACAAGATAAAGCGATGGAGGTGCATTCAGAAATTGTCAGATATGTGGTTAATGACTGGAGCAAGTTTTCAATTATGACCCACTCGGACTGTCGTGGTCGGAGTGGAGTCCAAAAGTGAGGTGTTTTTTATAAAATAGAGTAGCGTTTGAATAAATATTGAAGTGACGGACATTTTGAGGGGACTGGCGGCCCTTTACGCCAGTAACTAGGCCGGATTCGACGAGGTCGTCAGTGCGATAATAGATGTGATATTTGTAAAAGTCATATTGAGAGGACTGGTGGCCCTTTAGTAAAAAAGGAAGTGTTTTTATAAAAGAAAAAGTGAATTAGAAAACTTAGAGTGACAGTATTGCCTGGAGCAAGACAGACGAAGCTTCTGTTCACTAAAAAGAGAAGAAGTCTGGCCAAATGCGCTCGACTGAGAAGCAACAGAAATATAAATTGAAGAAGAACAAGCTAACTTCAGGATGTCGGTTTTTCGTGACGGTGTGCGCGCGCATCGCGCAAGTGTAGCCTTAGGTCAGTCACCTTCAGGTACGTTCACTACAAAAAATCTGTTTGTCAAAAATAAGTGAAAAAAAAAGCAGGAAATGTAGCCGAAAGTACGTAACCTTCAAAATTCAATAAGTTATCAAAAGACATTTGCTGTGGGCCCATAGCGCAGACGTGAATGAATTATTGACTCAATTTTCACCACAATAATCAATAGTGAGTTGCAGCTTGAGGGAATCGGAAAAAAAAAATTAATTATTCCTTTTTCTTATGTTTCGATATTTACGTACATTCCAAGCCTC